GCTGGGATTAAAGGAATGCACCACCACTACCCAGTTTGAAAACTAAACTTAAAAAAGAAAAGTAACCATCAGGCTAGGTGTGTGGTGCGCCCTTTTCACAGAACTCAGAAGCAAAGGCCAGTGCATCTCTGTGAATTTGAGGCTAGCCTAATCTTCATAGAGAGTTTCAGGTCACAAAGCATACACAGTGAGAGCCTGTCCCATAAAACAAAACAAAATCCCCAAACAAACAAAATTATCAAACAAAAGAAAATACCAACTGAGGTTGTCAGGTAGGGAAGCTGACCCAAGAGGAGAGAATGAAAACCTGGTGCAGACTGACTGTATTGACCTGAACCAGATTTCGGGGAACCTAATAGCGGTGGGTCATTGCCAGCATATTTAAAACACAGTACAATTTGGGAAAAGAGTTCCACGCAACAGTCAGTCTCCGACCTATAGCTGAGATGTTAGCAGGCCATAGAGCACACGTGACATCTCCCCTAAGGATGGGTAATGGTCCAGAGAGGGAAGAGCCTGGGATAATCATTCTGGAGGATTCTGGGGGATTTACTACTGCCTCTGTAGTAAAAGGTGGGTGTGGTCTGCCTCCACAGAGAGCAGACCGATCACCAGTATCCACTTCCAGCCTTTAAGCAGGAAACAGGTGTTTTATCTTCTCCATTGAGAAGAGGCCCCTGTATTTAACATTCCTAGTTTCCCTAGTGATCTGTGGGTGCAAAAACCTTTGAGGCCCTAACAGTCAACCAAAAGATTAACATTGTTTAGAAGGGACTTGTAAAATGGCTCAGTGAGCTTGCTACTGAGTTCTGAATACAGCACCCAAGACCCACACGGCAGAAGGGGAGAATAACTGAGTGCTGCCCTTTGACCTCTAGCACATGACATGGCACACACACGTGCACAAACACACACAAGTAAATGAAGAAGGAAGCAATGGCAATAGAAGCTGAGTTTCTTGTCAATAAATCTCCCATTATACCTGTCAAGACCACTGTGCTAATCAGACTCATCACTGAGGATCCAGTACAGCAGGTATCCTCTGGCTGTTGAGACACCGTGGGACAGCTGTACCAACAGTCTATATCTTTAGGTGTCTGACCTCCATTTATACAGGTGTGATGCCCATAATCCTTATGTGATGTATAGACAAACAGATCAGACAGGCTGCCTGTCTGGGATTCCTGATTTCCAGTTCAGCATCTTTACCTTGGTCTGGAAGGAATGTAAATCACATCCAGAGGCAGGATGGGACTGAGGCTCAATGGGCCAGAGTGTTTCCCCAGCATGCAAGAAGTCCCAGCATCCCCAGCACCACAAAAAGTGGGCATGATGGTGCATGTCTACTATCCCAACACTTGGGAAGTGGAGGCAGGAGGATCAGGAGCTTAAAGTCATCCTTGCCTACATAGTGAGTTTGAGACCAGCCTGGGCTACATGAGACCCTGTCTCAAAACCATCAACATCACAGGAGACATTTTTAGGAACATAGCTGTCTTTCAGAAAGAAGTCTAGTGTCAGTGTCTGGCTGAGTGGGAGGCAGCTAGATGATAGGGAAAAGGGAAAAAACCCAAGGATGGGACAGCATAAAAAATGCTGTGATGACAGAGGGTTTCCTGGGCTCTTCTCTTTAGAGAGCGCATTCTCTCTGGCAAGCTGGTACGCAGAGCTGAGAAGCGACTGAAGGAGGTGGTTCTTCAGGTGGACGAAGAGCGCAGGGTGGCTGACCAGCTCCGGGACCAGGTGAGCAGTTGACATCACCACAAACAGTAGGATCAAAATCGGGAAATAACTACTGCTAGCCTGGCCTGGCAGGTGGCTAAGTGGGTCATCCCAGCTATGGTGGAAGCTAAGGCAGGAGAATTGCTATGAGTTCCAGGAGAGCCTATGCTACAGTGAAAGACCCCTTCTTAAATCAGCAGCAACAATGAAAAATATCCCGTAGTCTGTAGGCAACAAAGCCTGTATGTGACTCAGGTCAGATAGAATTCCTGTGTCCTTAAAAGCTCAGCTATGCCTTGTTTGCTATTCATTCCACAGAGGATTGTTGAGCATGCCCTTTGTGCCAGGCACATTGCTAGGAATTGGAAATACGGCACTAGAAAGGTTCCAGAAGGTCCTCGGCTCACATTACTAGCCTCAGAAAGCTATTATACACATGACCAGACAAAGATAATTGCCAGACTCTGATAAGGGCTGTGAAAGAAAAAAGAATGAAGACATAGGAATGGAAAGCCTTGTCCATTGAGTGTTGGGTGTTGGATGTTGGAAAAGGCTGGAGGGCATTTGAATTAAGACCTGACAGGGGAGGAAGAACCAGGTAGAAAGAGCAGGAGGTTTAAAGGCCCTGATGAAGTGAGCAAGAGAGAGGTGTATAAGAAATGAAGTTGGAGCTGCAGATGTGGTTCAGTTGGTGGAGTGATTACCTAGAATGCACAAGACCCTGGTTTCCATTCCCAGCACAGCACATGGGAGATTAAGGCAGGACCACCAGAAGTTTAAGGTCATCTTTAGCTACATACTGAGTTCAAGGCCAGCCTGTATTACATGAGACAAATGAAGTTATACAATGTATGTTTTTACCCTGAAGAGAGGTGTCTGGGGAGATCAGATACTGAATTTGATGTGGTCACTGGGTTTCACAGAGACATGGACATGAGGAAATTTATTTTAGGGCTGGCCCCTTACCCAACAGTCCTGGGGAGGCAAAGAAGAGCGGTAAATGGGAGGGGGCTGCTCTGAGTGTTCCAGTGTCCCTCCAGTGCTGCCATGATTTCCAGTGAGCCATGCGTTTATACCAGATAGGGCACGGGCAGGTTAAGCAGGTTAAGGAACTAATTCCACCAGGCCCGGTTGGTAAGCCAGTGAGTTTATTGTGGTCACTTACAGGACCACGGGTGACTCAAAGACAGCTACGTCACCAAGAAACCTCACCCCAGCATGAGTGATGGGCTCACAAACACTGCAACCTAGGAGGCTCATCCCTCTCACCTTCCCTTATGCCTACTGTATGCCCTTACACCCCAGAGAACACAGGCAATGGGAGAGGGGCAGGATCTTACAGGGAGGGTCAGGTATTCTCTGCTCCTTGGATTGTTAACTGTCTGGTCTCGGTTGCCCAACACCCAGCTATCTTCTGCATATTTTGTTGCCATAACTCTGAAGGTCTCAGTAGGTCACCATAGCTGCTCTAGGCACTGGGGGACACCAGGGAATAACATGGTCCATCGTCCGTCCGTCCGTCCCCCCCCTCGCAGCTGGAGAAAAGCAACCTCCGGCTGAAGCAGCTCAAGAGGCAGCTGGAAGAAGCAGAGGAGGAAGCATCGCGGGCGCAGGCTGGTCGGCGGCGGCTGCAACGGGAGCTGGAGGACGTCACAGAGTCCGCGGAGTCCATGAACAGGGAGGTGACCACGTTGAGAAACAGGCTCCGGTAAGTTACCCGTATGCTGGTACCACCCAGGAGAGGAGAGCAAGACTTAGCTTGGATGACCACCACGGGGATAGGATCCTGCGGTGGGGAGGAAGCTGTGGCTTCCCTGACCCACCCCCTGTGCTTTTCAGTCTTGCTCAGGTGCCACGTGCACCTGTTTGACCACTTGCCAGCGTTTGAGCTCAGCTTCTCTTGTCCCAGTCTGCACCTGTGTTCTCATCCTTGCCTGCATCTTTGCCCCGCCTCCGGCGCACTTATGCCTTCTTCTCCCACAGGCGCGGCCCACTCACCTTCACCACTCGCACTGTTCGCCAGGTGTTCAGGCTGGAGGAGGGCGTGGCTTCTGATGAGGAGGATGCTGAGGGGGCGGAGCCTGGGCATGCACCGCCCCAGGAACCTGAGGCTCCACCCCCTGCCACACCCCAGTGATCCAGTCTGTCCTAGATGCCCCAAGGACAGGGCCTGTCCCAGTATCCCTCCTGGCTTGTACTTTGAAATAATGCTGCCCTCTGGCACTTTCTGGCATTAATGAACCCTACTGGGACAGGACTCCAAATCGAGGCCCTAAACCAAGGAGCTGGGAGGCAGGAGGCAAGAATGATCACTCTTATTAAGGGGACAAAATGAGCTTGGATGGCAAGGATGTCCTGTCTGCTCCCATTTTCCTCAGGCCTGTCCCCTGCAGAGGGCAGGCAGGGGGCCTCCATCCCCTCCCAGTATCCTGCCCACTTTTACGGCGGTGGGGAGGGGGATCTGTGTGCTCACCAGGGTAGTATTCAGGTCCCTCCTGCTCCAGGACTGAAGAATAAACTACACCTGCCTGGATCCTTCACCATGGCTGTGTTCCTAATTGGGGAACAGGGTGTGAGGGGCTTCCTCTGCTGCTGTACTCCGTGAGATCCTCTTAGGGACCGGGTAGTCACTGCACAATACAAAGTCTCAGTGTCCCACTACATGGTGTAATCTGTGAGATCCTCCTAGGGACGGGGTGGTCAGCACACAATACAAAGTCTCGGTGTCCCACTACATGCTAGGCAAACCATTGTCTCCTCAGCATCTCCCATATGATTGCTGAGAGAGTGAGTCACGTCTTTCTGACCCTTTCAGAGTGTTCGTAACTGGCTGAGCCACTAGCCTCAGGGCACACAGGGTGAGTGAACCAAGACCCAAACCCCACACTGCCAGGCTCCAGGGTTGGTTATCTACACATGAGGACAGTTTTCATAAGCATCTGTCTACCCAGGACTCTTCCTGGGTTCTAGGACTTAAGTTCCCAAACTTGTGGCTCTCATACATTCTGGGTAAGAGGGCTGTTCGTGTTTGTCATCAAGGAAACTAAGGCCAAGGCCCATACTTGCCCCAGTGTCCAAGGAGACCAAAAGATCAGGTCCCATAGGGGGATTCTAGGTGGGGGACTCTGGGAAGCTTTGTTCCCAGCCCTCTTTCACCTTTTGTTGCCCAGGGTATATTTCTTTTACCTCTTAGGTCAGCATCACCTAGCCCAGCTCCCACCTACTTTCTAAGTTCCCAGTGAGTACCCCAGACCCAAATCAGAAAAGCCACTTCTAAATGAAAAGGAATCATTTATTGGGCAGGGGAGGGACATGACACTGTTTCTTTGTGGGGGAGGGCTGACATGCGGCAGCGAGGGTGGTTCATGCACCCTGGGTGGGCGTGGGGGAGGCTTGGGGGAGGAGCCTGCCGACCCCTCCCTCCCTGCCTGCGGGTGGGCCAGGAAGACCCGCCGTTAGCACCAGAGTTGCAGACCTCCCCTCCCCCAGACTCAGGACCCGCCCCCATCCCTGAGAGCGCCCCTTGGCCAGCCCCTCCCGCGCCAGGCCAGGCCAGGCCCGTCCGCCCACTAGAAGTAGAGAAACTTATTGCTGTGAGTGTGTGGGGAAGGAGGGGAGCTGCTGAGCTCAGGAAGACCCCCTTGCCCCCTGCCAATCATTCCTCCCCGTCGGCCCGCCCCCAGCCCCAAGTCCGAGCGTCGTCCCCCCCCCAACCCGCGCAGGAGGGGTGCGCAACGCATGCGTGTGTGTGGGGGCGCGTCATGCAGCGCATGCGTGCAGTTGCAGGCACCCTGGCGGCCGTGGGGAAAAGGGAGACCAGGACCTGGCTCTTCCTCCCGGAACCCCGTAGTTTGGTAAATTGGGAGATATGAAGGGGGCGAAAATCACGTTTTGTAGACATTTATAGTGATAGTAGCTTTCTTTTTTCTTTTAAAGCTTAACTAAAAAGCTGGATACGTGTGGGAAACTGGAGAGCAGGGGGAGACAGTGGGAAGTGGCTGGTACCCTTCAAAAAGGACTCCTACCCCTTCCCCCGCCCCATTTGTCTCTTTTGAGGGACGGGAGAATAGTACGGGCTGTTTAAAGAAGTCGAACCCTTTGGCAATATTAGGAGTCCTCACCCCATACCCTAGTGTCTGGAGCCCCCTAGCCCTTTGCCCTGTCCCTACCAGATCCCACCCACCCCTCAACCCCTGTCTCACCAGGGTTTAAAATCCCAAGGGAAGGCTGGGGACGGGTGTGTGTGTGGGGGACTCAAAACGCCCCTTGCATAGGAATCGTTGCATCAAGAATTGGGTCCAAGGACACTCCCACTGACACTATGGTGACCGAGGGAGGGTTCCCTGAGGCTGTGGGAACAAGGGGGAGATTGCTAATTCTGCCGACCACCCTGCTCCAAAGGGGAGTTTGTTTAGGATTCTGGGACCAGTGTGGTCTCTGGGCTTGGGGGGGAGGTAGCATACTGGAGCCAAGAAGGGATTTGAGAAAGTTTTCCACCGCGAACGTGGCACGTGTAGGGCAAGGAACGCGGGGAAGCGCAGGCTGAGGTCCTAGCCGAGGTGAGCATGTCCTCTTTTCCCACCACGCGGGCCACAGCTTCTGTGATCACTTTGGGGCTGTTTTAGGGGAAAAGGGGTTACCGGAGATTGAACCCCGGGACCGTAGCACGTTAGGCAGGCTGTGTGCTTGACTGTCCTTGACTTGCTCAGTGTCACAGGGCACACCCAGCTGCTGCGCTGCCAGTACGCACCAGCCAGGTATGCAGTGCCTGGAGCATACACGTTTTAAACACCTGGTCGTTTGTGCGCTCTGTAAACTACAGCACACGAAGAGGAAACAGGAGTCCCACACTCTGGGAAACTGTGTTTTGGCACCATCTCGGTGGGACGGGCTTTGAGGAGGGTACTGCCTAGGCAGAGATGCTGAGTGGGGTGGGAGCTCCTTGGAATCTGACAGGCCGAGCCCATCCAGGAAGAGGTACCTGGGACAGAGGAGTGTGATGTCTAGGGTCGGGGGAAGCTTGAGTGGCTGTGGGTTTATCTGAGCAATGTCCGGGTTACGAGGACTGCCGGTTCCCAGAGGCTGGAAGTGAGCTGGGATACAAGGAAAGGGTCTGGGAGGGTGGAAGAGCACTGAAGTACAGACCAGGCCGGTGGTGGGTGGGTCTGGGAGTGATGGAAGTGTGGGGCGCCAGAGTGCGCGGGGATGGGAGTGCACGGTGCCAGGGTCAATCTCCGGAAGTCTAGGGTGCTAGTCTCCTGTTCTGAGAGAGTGGAGACAGGGTGGGGTGGAGGGTTGTGGGCCTCGAGGGCTAAGTCCATGCAGTGAATAGAGGGAGCAGATCCCTGGAGGCGGGCGTGGGTGGAATGCACCAGCTGGAGTCATCCAAGCCCGGGAGCGGCTGGCAGAACCCCCCACCCCCAGCAGAGCTCCTGAAGGCTGCCGCTCATCAACCTGCTTTCCTTTCCCTACATGTTCCTAGATGGTTTTTGTTTGTTTTTCCTGAATCAGTTAGTGATGGGTGGGTCACCATTTTGGGGGGTGAGCAGGAAAACCCCTAAAATGCCAGTCCCGACCCCAGACCCCATAAGCTACCGGCGGCCTCCCCTCCAACTCACTTGCAAGCAGCTCCTGACAGGCTTATTGCTGAAGAGGGGGTCTGGGAGGCATGCAAACTGGAGTGGGTGCCCCAAGATGGAATCAGCTTTTAGTTATTTACAGGAGTCGATGGGAGAGGTGTCCTATGGCTCATGACAACCTGAGGTTTGCTTTTTTTGGGGGGGAAGGGGAGAGAGTAGGGGGAGGACAGGCTCCGGCCCCACCCCCTCTATCCTGGAGGCTCTAGTATGTGGAGAGAGGCCCGAGGGTGTCTGCTGGCATCATCACCTCTTTTGCATATTATTAATGACTATTTTTTTTTAAAGAACCCTTTCCCCGCCCCCCCCACTCCCAGCTCCTTTCAACCTTCCCATCACCCCCAGTCCCCCCACGGGAGAGGGAGCACTAGAGGATGGAGGGCAGGGTTGGGGGAGCTCGGCGCGTGGCCCGGGGCGAGCCTGGGGGAGTGGCGAGGGGCGCCAGGCGCAGGGATACCCCGCTCAGGCCCACAATGCTGCTCAGGCTGCGGGACTTCTCGTAACCTGGGGAAGGAGCAGAGACAAGGGTGGGAGGGTGCGTGGGGTAGGAGCCAGGGTGAGGGTACACAGAGACCCCAAACAGGGACACAGAGGCAGAGAGAGGAGGGATGGAGAGGGGAGAAACACCCATAAGCAGGATGGGTGGGCCGAGGAGATGGAGAGAGAGGTGAAGAAATCGCAGTCAGTCAGCATCCACAAGAAAGGTGCAGACACAGGGAAGGGGAGAGAAAGGATTAGGAGGTGGGTGGTGCCCACTAAGCCGCCCCACCCAGCCTGCCCACCCTTCTCTTCCCACCTCCCCACGGTCCCCTGGTCTGAGGCCCAAAGGCAGCAGTCGGCGAGGTGGGATGGTGGGCGGCAAGGGCGGGGTGGGGTGGGTGGAGGCAGCAGCTGGTGGAGGGGGCTGCACAGGGGGAGCTGGGGCCTGGTGCAGGGAGGGGGAGGAGATACCCTGGGACTGTCTAGCCCAGGCTGGCTTTAATCTCACCGTGTTGCCCAGGCTGGCCTAGAACATACTGTATATCTTGGACTGAACTCAAATTATGTAGCCTAGGCTGGTCTCAATCTCACTATGCAGCCCAGACTGGCCTCAAACTCACTATTTAGCCTAGGCTGACTTCAAATTCAGTAGGTAGGTGGCCTTGGACTAAGGCATAAGCCATTACACTCAACATGGACATCTTTCAAGAGTCCAGGACATAGGATGAGGTGGAAGAGTCCAAAATTGATGGGGTCTGCCGGTGACAGGAAGCAGTAAGGTCACACAGTTTGTGGGATCCCACATCTGGACCATGTGGATGGGTGGGTTTGTTTGTTTTGTTTTTTGTTTTTTTGTTCTGCTAGCACCAGGTACTGGGATGGCTTTTCTAAGCATCCCAGGCTAGGAGGTGTATTCTAACTGCAGGAGAGTGCCTGGGGTGGGGGACAGAAGCCCGGTGTCTCAGGGACACCCCCTCCCACCATTCCCAATTGCTAACCTGGGGGGAAGGGACAGGGGGAACCCGAGGGTCTCGCGAGGTCTCAGGCGGTGACAAGAGCTGGGGACAGAAACAGAGAGTCAAGGGTGGGGAATGGGAGGCAGATGGGGGTACCCCAACACAGGCTCACTGTTGGGGGGACGGAGAAACGCCTGGATGCTTTTCTCCTCTCTGGTGTTTTCCGGGGGTGATGGGAGCGGTGAAATGGGGGTAGCCAGAGACATCAAATATGGCAGGAGCTTCCGGGGTGGCTAGGAAAGGGGGGGCCAAGGGTGGAAGGAATGGGGCTGGGTATGGGAGTCAGAAGGTCAGAGGGTAAATATAAACAGGTCAGTAAGGAAAGAAGATATTGGGGCAGAGAGGCAGGCAAGTAGGGGAACATTGGGGCAGAGAATTCAGTCAGCCCCAGCAGCTCCGGCCATCATTTGAGTTCAGTGAATGGATTTTGGTATCATATGCAAGAAAAGCAAGGGCCTCACCCCTCCCCCCGGGATTCCCCACACACTCCGCCTTACCCTCCACCCCACCAGGAACCCTTCAACAAAGGGGTAAGGAATGAGGTCTAGGTTCAAGCGGGGGTGGGGTGATGGGAGGAAGGAAGGAAAGAGTGATGAGATGGGCATGGAAGGTGATGGGGTGGGCGTAGGAAGGACATGGACGGGAGAGGCACACAGACCCCACTGCCTAGGTTCTCACACCTGTCTGCTCCCAGCTGGCACTCCCTGGAGGTCTTTGGAACATGGGGGTTCCATACAGCCTTAGGCCGAGAGCAAGGATTCTTCATGTGTTTATATTTCTAAAGAAGGTGCTGTGTTGTTTCTAGAATGAGCAGGTAGTAGATAAACACCTTCAAGCAACTTCTTGTCATGTATAAGACAAAGCTGCCTCCCCCAGCACTAAGCTTCAGCTCAGATGCCCTTGTACCCCTTCCCTGTTCAGCCACACCAACCGTCCTTCCTGTGCAGTGTGGGAAGTAGAAGAACATAAGATGTATTAAGCAAGTACTCCATTGCTGAGCCATGCCCCGCCCCTCACGGGGGGTTCTAGGCAAGAGCTCTATAAACAAGGTTCAAACCCAGCCTCCCCCTCCCCAGCCTTTTCAGCACTTAGGGCTGGGCACTTGGCCTCTTCTTTCAGGTCTCAGGTCATTTTCTTAGACAGCTTTCCCAAAGTCAGCTGTGCGGTGCCTACCCACAACACAGATAGCACTGTTCACACTGAGAGGACACACCAAGGCTGAAGGTACCTCAGAGAGAACCTGAGCCTTCCAGGAAAGTTCTTCCCTCCTCATGGTGGGGCAGTGTAACAGCTACCTCTGCTGTGTAACAAACCACCCCAAAGTATAGTAGCTAAAACAAGAAATTGGGGGGTGGGGGCAGGATCTTGTTTTCTAACCCTTCAATCTCACAATCCCCCTACCCCAACATCAAAGTGCTGTATTCACAGATGTGTACGCCATGCTTGGCTTTTCCTGCCCCTCCTGACTGACCACTGGCCTGACTCTTCACACTTTCCTCTCACAGACCTGGTTCCTGCTAGGTCCTCCTCTTGTTGCTAGACTCTCATCCGGCTTCTCACCAGCTCCCAGCCTCATGATCTGCTCCACCCATCTTATTGCCTCTAGTATAGCCCTGCTTTCCTGGTTCTTGTGTCCTTGTCTCTCCTCTGATAGCTACCAGCTATCGGAGATCTACCAGCTCTTAAGATTATGGAGAACTCGCCTGGCTCACTCCATCCTGCACGCGGGACTGTCCAGGCATTCAACCCACATTGGTGACTAGATAGAAACACCCAGAGAGGGGTGCAGACAGGTGAGGGTAGAGGCAGCAGTGGGGTGGGGATGGGGTGAACAGGTCACAGGTGGGAGCTGGGGCTGGGTTAGTTTGAGTGTTAGTGAGGACTAGGCGTGTCCTGCGGTGACGGTGGGGTCAGTGTCAGGAACTGGGTGCAGCTGCTCACCATGGCTGAGGGTCATGGTCAGGGAGAGCGTGTTCTCAGAGGTTAGCTGGAGGTACAGAAGGCAGGGGAGGGGGGGGGCGGGGGGGGGAACTACTTACCCTCGGGGGAAGGGGGCTCGTCCACTAGGGGGATATCCAGGCCGCTGCGTTGGCGTTGAGGTCGGCCAAGAAGCTTGGGGGGCCTGGCTTGCGCCAGTATGGGGGGGGCAGTGGGGGAGCACCAGTGGCTGGGGTTGAGGGAAGAGGCCGGAGAGTCAGGGTGGGTGGGGGAAGATGGAGATGAAATAAAGAAAGGTGAGGAAACTTGGGGCTCAAGGCGAGGGAGAAGGATAGGGAAGAAGGTAGTTTGGGGCTGAGGGGGACACAGAGGGAAGTCTGGCACCTCCCCCATCCCCTCTCCTCCCTCCCCTGGGCTGGAGAGAGAGGAAGGGTCTCTGGGGAGCTCCTGGGGGGCACCTCACCTTTTCGGATGGAGCCATCAGGGGAGGGGGCGTAGTCAGTGACAAGAAAGCAGGCTCGGTCCCGGCTGTAGCGGCCCCGGCTTCCGGGGGTGATCGGGCTCTTGTCTTCTGGAGACATGGCTGGTTGGTCGATGGCAGGGCAGTCCTCGTGGGCCAGTGCAGCGGCTGCGGGGTCCCCATTGGGACGGGGGTCCACTGCAAGGTGAGGGGTCACAGACAGAACAGAGACTGAAGGGAGAGGTGATAGTGGAGGACGCTGGAGGGCGGGGAAGACAATGGGGCGAAGGGTGCGGGCAGTGGCTGACTGAGAGGCAGAGGCGAGGGCTAGAAAGTGGCGATTGGGTCTTGTGTGAGTATGGGAACGTTCATAATTGGTACTGGGAGAGTGGCAGGGGCCGCTGTAGTTACTGTGGATCCGCATGGTGGTACCCACCTATCGTCCCATCACTCAGGAGGCTGAGGCAGGAGGATTCTGAGTTTGAGGCTAGTCCAGGCTGCATAGTGAGATTGCCCCCGCCCCCGCAAAAAAACAAAAGACAAAACAAAAGTGGGTGCTGGGCACAACCAGCATTAAGGTGCTGGGTGCTGAGAGGGGACAGGGAGGATGTCACGGATTGCAGAATGGTTGCTTAGGGACAAGTGTGGGGTGCTGCAAAGGGCAGGGTGGGGAAGGGCTGGGAGGTGACAGGTGAGGGAGGGTGAGGTGGGGGTCCCCTAGGCTCTGACTTGAGCTATTTTTAATGGGTGGAAAACTGGGTCAGTGGCTAAGGGAACAAGATGGGGGGCCAGGCAGACTAGCTCATTTTCTTGACCTACTTAAGGCCTGGGGGGGCTCAACTCCTTCCTCCAGCACACCCAGGTCACTGCCTGCAAGAAGCAGAGTCCCCCAGGACACACACAGCACGCAGTCAGGCACAACCACCAGTGTTCTGGTCTCCTCCCTCTTCTTGGCCTGACTCATTAGAAAAATTCCTTTGAGACAGTCTTGCTCTAGAGCCCAGGCTAGCTTTGAACTCACCTCATCCTTCTGCCTCGGCTCCCCAAATACTGGGATAACAGGTGTGATCAACTAGGCCTGGTTGACTCTTGCCATAGCAAGAATTCCCTGGGGTACTCTGGGGACCCCAGCTTTTCATACTGCCTCTGCAGACCCTGCCTTGCAGCTCCACACCCTGGCTGTTCTGCCCACAGAACCCTCTTATTTTGCATGTAGGTGTGTCCTGAACGCTGTCCTGCTGACTGCCCACTCCATTTGTCTCCTTCTCATAAGTGATGGTGATACTTGGCAGACCAGCCGTGCTGACTTGCCCACCTCTGGCCTCGGCACAGTCTGCCATAGTCATGTACTGCGCTGGTATGCAGACTTGTCCCTAGCTTTCCTAGGAGTCATGTGAGACTCCCTGTGTTTTACTTACACTGAGCCCCTTTCTTTTTGAGACAGGGTCTCATGTAGCTCCAATCGGCCTTGAACTCCTGATTTTCCTGCCTCTTCCTAAGTACTGGGGTTATAAGAATTCTTCTTTCTTTGTTCTTTCTCTCTCCCTTCTCTCTCTTCCTTTTTCTTCTCAACTAGAAATAGAAGCTATCTTTTTCCTAGGAAACTGTCAAAGGATAAGAGTGGACTGGAGGCCCAGGAAGTCACTCAAAACCTTTCTCGGTTTGTTTTCCTGAGACAGGGTCCTGGATGTGTGAGGCCTAGGATAACTTCGAACATGTGCTGACCCTCCTGTCTCGGGCTCCCCAGTGTTGAATCCCTACTCTCCCTCTCCTTCCCATCCACCCACTTTCCTGTCCTAACTTCTTTCCTCCCTTCCCTTTCTCTCTTTGTACTTTTTGTCCTAGTGATATTTGAGACAGGGTCAGGTAGCACAGGTTAGCCTTGAACTCCTGATCCTCCTACCTCTACTTTCCAAGATGGGAGGTACCAAGTGCCTCCAAGGGATAGAAAGCATGCCCCAGATACCTGGGTTTCCAAGTCTACAAACAGCCTCACTATGCTGTCTGTCCACGGTCCGCTCAGAGCAGCCTGGCAACAAACACACCTTCAGAAACACTCTTGCACATGGAGCCTGTCTCTACGGTCCTTCCTGCTTCCTCTCTAGCCTCCTAGCCATTTGTCTTTTCTGTCTGCTGTTGCCTTCCACCCCACTCTGCCTGAACCTAAGAGACACCTTGCACCTGCAATCCCACCCACCTCCCCCACCCCGCCAGGTCTCCCAGCAACCCCAGTGTTGGCTCCCAGTCTCACACCTGCCCACCTCCCCCCAGGTTTCCCTGCACCCCCAGTGCTGGTCCCAGCCTTGCACCTGCAATCCTGCCCACCTTCCCCTCCCCAGGTCTCCCCGCACCCCCAGTGCTGGCCCCAGCCTCACCTGCCCTGTTGGTTTCAATCACCTCTTCCTGAGCCAGTGGGCAGGGCTCACCAGGGGCTGGGAGAGGAGGCAATCCCATGATGCCCAGTCCCCCAGCACCACCCCTGAGCAGCCCGGGGTGTGTGTGGGGTCCAGGTGGGTAGGCCCCAGCCACAGTCACCCCCATGGAGGGAGGGGTGATGGGCGGTGGTGGGCTGATGCCACCACTGCCGTGGTGGGAGTGTGGCGGGGGTGGAGGTGGGGGGTCAGGTTTGCAGTAGTTGGGTGAGCCAGGCTGTGGAGGCCTGGGGATGTGTTTGTTTTTCTTCTTTGGCAATTTCTGCTTGGCCATGGCCAGTGAATAGTACATGCCGAAGTTGTTGACAATGACGGGCACAGGCATGGCAATGGTCAGCACACCAGCCAGGGCACACAGCGCCCCAACCAGCATCCCAGACCACGTCTTGGGATACATGTCTCCATAGCCCAGGGTGGTCATGGTGACCACAGCCCACCAGAAGCCGATGGGGATGTTCTTGAAGTAGGTGTGGTTGGAGCCCAGGATGTCATCAGGGTCGGCACCAATGCGCTCAGCGTAGTAGATCATGGTGGCAAAGATGAGGACCCCCAGAGCCAGGAAGATAATGAGTAACAAGAACTCGTTGGTGCTGGCCCGGAGCGTGTGGCCCAGCACACGCAAGCCCACGAAATGGCGGGTCAGCTTGAAGATGCGCAGGATGCGCACGAAGCGGACGACACGCAGGAAGCCCAGCACGTCCTTGGCAGCTTTGGAGCTGAGACCTGACAGGCCCACCTCCAGGTAGAAGGGGAGGATGGCCACACAGTCGATGATGTTTAGACTGCTCTTGAGGAACTCCACTTTATCCGGGCAGAAGGTGACACGCATGAGAAACTCAAAGGTGAACCACACCACACACACGCCTTCCACATAGGTCAAGAAGGGTTCTGTCTCCACCTCCACATTGGTGATGTTCTCTGGGGGAGCCCCAGGGATCGGGGAGGCCTGCGTCACCGTCTTGTTGCTGATGTGGATGAAGCCCTCGTGCGTCTCCAGGCAGAAGGTGGTGATGGAGATGAGGATGAAGAAGAGGGAGGCAAAGGCCACATACTGCAGGAGGGAGGAGAGAGGGTGGGGGACCAATACATCTGCATCGCTGGAGTCTAAAGACCCTTCTGCTCGCCCCCCATCCCCCACCTCAGGGCCCAAATCCCATTAGAATCCAAGTGTCCCCACGTCATGGTTCTGCCACTTCTAGCAACCCATTCTGAGAGGCTCAGGGCAGAAGCTTGCCACAGCTGACCCAGGGAAAGAGCACTTTCTGGGTGCTTCCCATATCAGGTTTCCCCAGAAGGATTCAATATTCTATTCAGGGATGGGCTTGAGAGGGACAACCACACTACCCATGTCTCAGAGGTTTGGGACTCAACCTGGACCTGGGGAAGGGCGAGGGCGCATGGGGACACTGGATCTTATTTCTGTAGCACTGGGGGTACAACCCACAGCCTTATGCAAGCTAGGTAAGCACTCTGTCCCCAAGATACATCCCTAGCCCTCTTTCTAATTTTTATTTTGAGACAAGATCTCGCTAATTTGACCGGGCCGGCCTTGAATTTGTAGTCCTCCTGCCTCCCGAGAAGCCAGTATAAGAGGCCTGCTTGCCACTAGGCCTCTCTCAAATGCCTGGATTTGGATTTGTCAAACTGGAACAAGGGTTAAGCTTTTTGGATCTGAATTTTCTTTTTTAATGGAATTGTTATGAAGATTTGGTGAGTGTACAGAGGGCTTGCTTCCAAAAACAGTGCTTGGCTGAGTGCCTGGAACACAGTGAGATCTGAGCTGTTACTAGGGTACAGTGGATCAGTTAGTCGGGGCAAGGATAAGGGGGTCAGAGAATGGCTATGCTCTAAGGACCCCACTGCAAGTGATCTGCTAAAAACAGACCTGGGGTGGTTTGGGGATGGAATGAAAGACTGGGTGTGGGGGAGCTGAAGAGGGAAGGCCTTGCTGGGTTAAGGCTAAGGAGAGGGAAGAGGACCAAGAAGCCTTGTGGATGGGGAGGGTTATGGTTCTGCAGGGGTAAATTCAGGGGCCTGGACTTTGGGCCAAAGTCCAGTAACTGGGGGGTGAGTAGCTTATGCTTTGTCAAAGTGGGGAAGACCCAGAGTCCTGCTACATAGTGAGGAAGAGAGGGCTAGATTAGGATCTGGAAGAAGTTGGGACTAGAGAGTCAAGGTCCTAGGGAAGGCTGTCTTATAAGATGAGAGAAGATCAGAAAGAGAAGACTGTGGGAGAAAGGCATGTGCTTGGGGGTCTGGACGTTTAACTTCAAGCAAAGCCCAGAGAAGGGGGCCAAGTGGGGGAATCTGACGTGGGAAGAGGACCAGGAAGCCTTGTGTATGGGGAGGGGTTGTGGTTATGGAGAGGTGAATTCAGGAGCCCAGGCTTTGAGTCAGAGTTTAATAACTGAAGGGTGAGCAGGCCCTGGGCCTTAGGGTTGGCTGGGACAGTGGTCAGTAGTGTAGACCACCGACACGGTTTTTCTGCAGTGGAGAAAAGGCCAGAGGTCTCTGCAGAGCGCATGCCCGGGGCCTCCCCGCCCCCAACCAGCAGGTTGCGGTACTGCAGTGGGGGCGGGTCGGCCGGGCCCGGAGCAGGGCGCCCGGCGGCCAGTACCACGGACAGCTCCCCCGCCGCAGTGCGCAGCCGCAGTGGCCTGGTGGCCTTCTTAACTCCTTCCAAGCCGAAGCGCCGCAAGCCGCGCGCAGCCGCAGTACCTAAGGCTCTGGCTTCACAGTTAAAGGCCACCGTGCCTATAATTTGCCTAACCCCTTCCCTCCCAGGAGTCCAAGAAAGGGTGGGCACCCGCTGCAGTCACAGGTGCAGGGTTGGTTTCCCCTGAAGTGACTCCGAAGCAGAAGGCATGGGAGGGTACCGAGGTTCTAGAAAGAAAGCAAAGCAGAGCCGGGAGGGCTGGACCCTGAGCTTGAAGGTGGTTTGAGTTCCCAATTTGCAAGAAGGTCCACCTGGAGGTTGGAAAGTACCCAGCACACAGCGGATATTTAAACAAACAAACAAACAAATCATAAATCGGTGCAATTAATAAATGCGTGACCTTCGTAGCCATTCTGGACCCCTAGCCTGGCCATCACCCAAAGACTTCCTCTCAGTCTCAGCACCCTTCAATGGGTCACAGGAAGGAAGGGCGCCCCAAGGCATCGAGTGGGGGTGGAGATGCGCGAAGGTGCATCTGGGGCCATGTCCCTCCTGCCCCTCTTTCTTTCCCCTTCCTCCCAACTCAACCCCAAATGTCGCCAATTCAGCGCTTCTCAGGGACTAAAACTTTATGCGAAGCCTCCGGTCCCCCCCCCCCCCAGCCTGAATGCGGCACTGCGGCTCTGCGTCCTTCCCGGCCCAGGACGCGGCGAGGTGGCGGGAGGGGGGAAGGAAGAAGGGGAGGAGTGGCTCTCTGCTCCCCACTTTTGCTAGTGCCCTCTTTTGTCCTGAATTTACTCCCCTAGCTATTCCCACACACCCTCCTCTAGGGTCTCCCGACCTGGAGGAAGTTTAGGAAGAAGGAAAAGCTCTAGCCAGAGCTATCAAGAGGGTATCTACAGCGGCTCACAAACTTTTTCCCCCGAGAGATTGTTGGGGGAACCTAGAGGTTTCTAGGGTTCTGGGTTTACATCAGGGGAGGTAAACGGAGGCGAACCCAGCGGGTTGAGCTATCCCAAGAGGGGGTGGGGTGGGGACGGAAACCATTTGAGAAGTTTCTGGACTGATGACTTAGGGGCGAGTAGCAGGAGTCAGGTCTCTAGATTTGAGGGGACTCAAAACTTCTGAAAGTCACTTGGCAGAATGAGAAAGTAACTGGCAAGGGAGGAATGGAGGTGGGAAGGGGTCCTAGAGGCAGAGGGTAGGGTTGCGGTTGGAGGGAAGGGGTATAATGCCAACTGCGGGGCAGTTCGAAGTGGAGGGGCACACACTGAGGTGCTAAAGAGGAGAGGGAAAGCATGGGGCCCTTCTGGAGACAGAAGAGTGGGTCCTGATTGCGGAAGTCTGAGCTCTATGGGGCAAGTCGTTTGCAGGGGTTGGTGAAGAGGGTGAAGGAAAAATCTGGGAGGAGAGTTTTACAAAGCTCCCCCCCCCCCCGACTCAGCGTTTTAGCTAGGTCGTTGGGAAACTGTCCTGACTGGAACCAGCAGTTTGGAGGTTCAATGGGGTCCTGGGGGTTCTGCAGGGACAGGGATCTTCTAGAACTTTGAGATCTAGGAGCAAAAGATCACAAACAGCCAGGAGGTCCAAAGTTAGAGAAAAACAGATCTAGAAATTGGGCCCAGGCGGAGAATGAGGGAGAGTTGGAGAGGGGACAACAACGACGCTGGAAGTGTTTCTAAGGTCTGGGACACCGAGGACCAGGAATAAGGGGCTTCAGGGTGTTCAAGGAATGGGGAGTTGAGTTTTGGCTAAGGACATTTTGAGGTCTTGAGACATTCTGAAGGTCTCAGGAGGTGTGTGGGAAAGGAAGGGGTGAGACTGCGAGGGAAGTCCGGGAGATTTTCAGTTAGGAAGCCATTTCTCAGGATCTACGATGACTTCGAGCAGTGGGTTGGAGTTTGGAAGGCCCGGGATAAGCTGAAGGTTCGGGAGGAGTGTGTTTGAAGGGGCATAGGGAACTCCGGCTGTAGGGAAAGAGGGCTTCCAGAGGACTGGGGAGACGGGAGGGGTGGGGGAGACTTGGCATGGAGTACTCTGGGAGCAGAGGGGTTGGGATAGTTAAGGGTGCTCGGAGAGCGCGCTCACCCTGGCGGCCCGCGACGAGTAGGGGTCCTCGAAAAGCGCCCACACACGGGGCTGCCAGCGCCGCCACCACGTG